AGAAGGGAATAGGACTAAATTTTCTCTTCTTTCTTTCTTTTTTTTTTTTTTTCGAGACAGGGTTTCTCTGTGTAGTTTTGGTGCTTCTCCTGGAACTCACTTGGTAGTCCAGGCTGGCCTTGAACTCATAGAGATCCTCCTGGCTCTGCCTCCTGAGCGCTGGGATTAAAGGTGTGCGCTACCACCGCCCAGCAGGACTAAATTTTCTTGATCTGGACCCAGGAGTGTCCAACCTGTTCCATGGCTATGCGACGATTGTATTTGGTCACATTCATGGCTATCCTGGGATGCATATGGTGTGGGTTAAGTATTCCTGAACCAGACAGAATTTCCTTATGTACAATACCAAAATCAAGATGACAAAGTAATACATACACTGGACTTTACCATTTGTATGATTAAGATACCATCAAGACAGCAAAAACAAATGGAAGAAAGTATCTTTGAAGCAAATACTTGATAAACAACGACTTGTACATAGACACAAAGACTTGCAATTCAAGGATTAAAGATATATAACCCAATTAAAAATGGACAGAGGTTTGAACAGCACTCATCTAATGATACATAAACAGCCAATGAGCTCACAAGCATATGTTGAACATCATCAGCAATACAAACCAAACTACAAGGGCATTTGCTTCACATACACCAAGATGGCTGAAATAAATAATGGACAGTACCAAGTGTTAGGGGGGATGCTGAGAACCTGGAACCCCCAGACACTGTTGGTAGGAGTGTAGAATGTAGATACTGAGAGACATTAAATTGAAGCACAGAATTACCATAAACCTTAGACATAAACCCAAGACAGTGAAAACATATCCACACAAGCTTGTGTGAAAATGTTCAAGGCAGCATTGATCATAACGTCCAAGAAATTAGGAACAATTCAAACGTCCAATGCTGTGATAATAAAGAAACAAATATAGCATATCTTTACTAGGATTATTTGTTCATAAAAATGGGCTGCTGATTCATTTCATAACTCAGATGAACCTTCTAAGCATTGAGTTACATTAAAGATTAATGCTCTTTATATAAAAGTCAAAAATGAGAGGGTATGATAATATACTAAAATCAGTGGTTGCCAGGGGCTGAATGCAAAGGAGAATCAGGAGACACTAATGTACATAGTAGTAACGAAAATATTCTTAAAGTCCCTCAGCAGTGACAAAATATTTTACAATTAGTCATAGTAGCCGGGTGGTGGTGTTGGCGGCGGCGGCGGCTCACGCCTTTAATCCCAGCATTCGGGAGGCAGAGCTAGGGGGATCTCTGTGAGTTCGAGGCCAGC